AAACTGAACCAGCAGGTAGAGGTGTCTTTGCAGGTTTGCATTAGACATTTGGAACCTCTCCAAAATGGTCTGAACATATTCAGATTGATCAACTAGAATCTGTCGCTTTTGACGATCACGACAAATCCTGAGTCCTAAGAAACACTCTACTGGTCCAAGATTGGTCATCTGATACTCCTTCTTGAGATGATTCTTTATTTGTTCAATGAACGGTTTAGAATCTCCAAGGAGCAATAAGTCGTCTACATAGAGGACTACATAGCAGACTTGACCGTTGCTTTTACTGGAGTAAACGTAAACTCCGGCATCCGAATATGTCCGTATGAACCCTTGGTTCAGAAGAGTTGGTGGATCTTAGTGTTCCATTGTCTAGACGCTTGTTTAAGACCATAGATGGCCTTCTTGAGGAGGCAGACCCAATCCTCCTTGCCTGGAACTACCCAGCCTTCAGGTTGTTCCATGTAGATTTCCTCTTCGGTTCACTGTTGAGGAAGGCTGTCTTAACGTCCATCGAGTCCATCTCCCAGTCTTCGAGTGCAGCGTGTGCAAACATATATCTCAAGGATTCAAAACGAGCGACTGGAGAGAAAGTCTCGTGGTAATCTTCACCCCAGACTTGAGTGAAGCCCTTGGCTACTAACCGGGCCTTGTACCGACCATCATGCTTTCGCGCATACACCCATCTATTCTTGACAATCTTCCTGTTCTTGGGATGGGGAACCAAGATCCAGGTGCCGTTTTGCTCATGAGACTTCATCTCAGAGCCTTCAGCAGCATGCCAGTGGTCCCACTCAGGGGATTTCCTTGCGTCTGAACATGAGGTAGGAACCGATTCAGAGTAATTGGCTTCCTTGAGAGCCTGCAATATCATAAATGCTTCCGCTTGCTGATCTCCATGAGAGTCAGTTCGACGGTCGATCCGAGCCGGAGGCTCAACACCATAAATGTTGTCCCTATTCCTGTTTGGGTTCCTTCCAGCATTCTCACGACGAGGGCAAGTATATATAGGCTGAGGAGGTTGAACAGGTTGAGGACGTTGTGCAGGTTCAGGGAGCTGTCTCTCAGGTTCTCCCACTGGTTCCGGTTCGTCGATGTCCTCATAAACATCTTCGCTCTCTACCGGTAGAGGAAGTGGAATTTCGATCTGTTCCTCGTCATCATCCTCAGAATCAGAGTCTACAGGATCGAATAATGGTGGACCCAGAGTCTTCGGGTTAACCAAATCCTTGCATGCCGGAAAGGAGTCTTCATCAAGGTCACATCACGAGACACAACGATCCGTCGACTGGAAGCATCCCAGAACTTATAGCCCTTGGAGCCTTGCTCATATCCAACGAAGATCATCTTGATTGCCTTTTTATCGAGTTTCCCTTGTCTTCGTTCCTTTGGCACATGCACGAATGCCTTGCAACCGAATACTCTGAAGTATGAGATATCTGGGACCGTGCCATCCCAGAGAGTTATCGGGCATTGCCACTTAAGGCGTCGCATAGGCTGGCGATTGTAAATATGAACGGCAGTATCAACTGCAAGTTGCCAAAATCCATGACTAAGACCAGCGTGGTGAAGCATAGCCGTACCTTTTCCATGATCGTGCGATTCCAGTGTTCAGCTCGCCCATTTTGCTGAGGCGAGTGTGCTACCATCTTTTGATGAACAATTCCATAGAATTTAAGACGGGCCGTGAAAGCGTCAGAAGTATATTCCCCCCCTCGATCCGAGCGTACATTTATGAGTTTATAACCAGTAACATTCTCAGCCCATGCCTTAAAGTCCTCGAACACTTGGAGCGACTCAGACTTATGACGAAGGTAATAGGCTTGTCCTAGACTAGTATAGTCGTCTAGGAACGAAATGAAGTACTTGAAACCACCATTGACTGCTTGAGTACGCATAGGACCATCTTCGTCAGTGTGTACCAACTCAAGAGGCTTTGTAGCACATTTGTAAGACGTGGGGAAAGGGGCGCGATGAGACTTGCCCCACTGACAACCTTCACAGGGAGATTGATCTTCAACTCCCACTGGATCTACACCTTTGGTATGATCAGGTAAACGGCGAATAACTTCCTTAGATGGATGCCCCATCCGGCGATGCCAGGTACGGAAAGGGGTAGACAGCAGTGCTGCCGATTTCCTGTCCAGGACGTCCATAAACGAAAAATACAAGTTGTTTAGGAAGTTGTACGGTGCTTCCATAACAATGTTGCCAGAAACTTTGCCATGCGAAAACGGTTGGTCATAAATGACCATCTGACCTGAACCTTGTACAAGTGTATGTCCTGATTTCTCCACAATACCAGTTGAAAACAAACAGCCAGAGGCTTGAGGAATATATGCGACATTAGATATTGTAATCATCATCCGCTCCTTTCTGACTGTTGTTAAACCTTTGATAGTGCCAGAGCCTAGTGCTTCTATTTTAGCATCTCCTGCTGTACCAAAAACGACGGGAACCGTGTATGGCTTGTAATCCCAGAAATATTCAAGTGAATTGACGACCGTCTGACCAATGCGCTTAAATTGATGCAAATGAGACTTATTCACACCAGGGCAATAGAATGATGAGCTCAATTGCGCAGACCCAGCGTCAGCAGACGCGCCATTATGTACAACAAGAGAAGAAGCAACTAAAGAACCAGCAGTCCGAGGGGGACAGACTCTACACGTGGGGTCCGTACAAGCTGTGTACTTAACCTCCTCGACTTCTACCACCGAAGCACCTTGACCATTAGACGAGGACGAACCGGATTGAGTGACCTTTGTGCCATCCGTGGTAGCATGGACAACTACCGTGTTCGCCTTTTTACCGTTGCCTCTGCCGTTACCACCCTTGCCTTTCCCTTTGCCCTTGTCGCCCCATTCTTGGGGCGCAGGTGTGGGAACTTAGTCCAGCACTGGTCCGAACCGTGTTTCTTGCCGCAGTGAGAGCAAGGACCGTTACCGTTGTGTACCTTAACCTGGGAAGTCTTGGAAGCAGACTGTCCCATTCCGGACCGGCGGAGAGACTCCTCAGAGAGTATTTTGCTCACGAGGGTCTCAACCTTCAACTCCTTGAGAACGGTGGTTGCCATGATGGCTGACACCATTGTCGAGTAGCTTTCCGGTATTTTGACATTAGAGAAGAGCCTGAGTTGGCTCATCCAACGTAATGCCGCCGTTAACGATGTCCTTGAGTACGGTTTGGATCTTGGAGATCTGATCCTGCATTGGCTTGCCGTCGTCCATCTCTCTCGACTTGATAAGAGCCGAAAACTGCGACCACACGAATGCTGCGTCCGGTGTACCAAAATGCGACTTGAGTGACGACCACATGTCCTTTGCCGATTTCATGACCTCTTCACCCCCCACTTTCTCGTAGAGGAGGTGGTGGAAACTGTTGTCCGTGCGCATGAGGATCACACCCTTAGCTCGGGTGTTCGCCTTCTTGTAATCCGCATTAGTAAGATCACCGGCTTTGAGGGCGTCATCGGCCTCGATAAACGTCAAGTAGCCGAGCATCTGGCTCGACCACACCTTGTAGTCCGAGGACTTTTTCAGGACAGAGATACTGTCAGCCTTCATGTCTGACATGGTGGCGGTAAGAATATGAAATTCGAAGAAGTCTGAGACTTCTTCAGAAACGGAGGGCGGTGGTAAACTTTCAAGAACGAAAGCGAGGTCAGACGATAGACTTGATTCCTCTGCTTCTTCTTGAGACGGTGCTAGTAATTCCTCTACGTCGTCTTCTTCGAAGAGATTCGATAGATCAGACGGTAATGTAGTAGGAACAAACGATGGAGATAGGTTTACTGGTGAAGCGATAGGAGTAGGAATTGTGCTCTAGAGCCGGGGATAGAAGGAGACCCGTACTCTGGGATTGAAGCAAGATGCTGAGGTTCAGGTTCAGAACCCTCAAAGAAGCTTAAAGAAGTGAATACAGAATAAGAATTGTCTTCTTGCCAGTGGTCAACTGGGATACCCCAGTCTGTACTTCCAATGTATGGACCGGACCACCTATGTTCACAGACTGTTTCGTCACACGGCCAAAACTGGTATTCAGTTTCTTCAGGCCGTCGGTGATAGTCTCTTAGTTCTGTGACGTCGAAGAGATGTTGAAGACCTCTGCAGTTGTATGGAGTTTCTTCTTCTGGTGCTTCTGCTTCCAAATTGTCGTCTAGCTGATGCTCAGACGAAGCCACAATGTGATGCTTGACTTATAATATATTCCAGTGATGTGCAACAAAAACGCTAGGTACGCCGACCTGTCTACAAACTAATCCAGGCCAAATAGCCCCCATTGGCTATGCTCGTTAGGTCCTTTGTGACCTTTCTATACTGCTTGACGAGCGGCTCCTGCGGCATCGAGAATTGACTGTGCCGACGCAACGGCAAGCCCACGAGATGCTGTCTCGCTGCTGCTTAGACCACTGATTGGCCTTGTCGAAGTTGTCACTGACCCAGTTGAGCTGGTCAGCGAAGCGGTGGAGGGCGCACTGGGAGTCTCCGAGAAGCGACTCGAAGAGGTACTTCTTGTCGAAGATTGCTTGGTAGCGCTCGATAGTGGCGCTAACCTTCTTCTCGAGGATACCAACGACTTCTTCGGTTGACTTCTTCTTGAAGTCAGGGAGCGGGCGAGGAGCGGGTGCGGAAAGGCATTCAGCAAGTGAGCGCGGCTGGGCGGCGGGGTCTGAGCGGACAGGAGCGGGGAGCAGGTGCGACTGGAGTCACAAAAACATTAGATTGATAGATCAGTGTTGATGAGGTAGAGTCGGTGTCAACGGACCTTTCTCTCAGGTCTCGTTGGAGGATAAACTTTTTGCAAATGGCGCGAAGGCCCACTGGAAATACGATCCTTTAGTGCCTTGGGCACTTCAGGTCGTCAAACGCTGAGTCTACTGAGAGACTAGCAAAACACTACGCTTACTCCTAGGAGCGTAGTCTTGGAGATCCTGCAGGGATGGGGACAACTAGGTATGCGCGTGTAGTGCAGGGCTCATAACCTGTTAAAACATGAAAAGTTGGTCAGACTGGGGATTGAACCCAGGTCATCCCATTTTTTTTAAGTGCCGGGAGGTGTTACCATTACACCATCTAACCAGTACTAGAGTGTGAATTCATTTCAACACTCCCCCTGAAGTCACGCTCTCGGACATTCAGTTCAGGAACCAACTTTTCAGTGGCATGGAGTTACCCTTGCCTAATCTTAGTCAAGGCGAGGGTTACTCTGACTCAGCTTTCTCCTAGCGTACACAGGGCTCATAACCTGTTGAAAGGAGTGAAATTGTAGTGGCTGTAAAGGCAGTGAAACGAACCTATGAGGGAACTGCTGAGGGAGTCCTGTTAGGCACACAGGAAAGCAGATGAAGGAACAATTACATTAGAGGGCATCTGAGCTCAGTATATATACATGAGAGGAAGGCATTATCTGATCGTACAGTATGCCTATCAGATGAGGCCTGAGTCGTGAGTCATCATTGTAAGCTTCATGAGTAAGCGTTAGTAAGACGGTAAACGGAACTATAGATAACCGTCAATATCATATGACAAGGGAGCGGAGTTCCGATACCGAATGGAGTACCGAATGGATACTGAGTGGAATGCCGAATGGAACTCGGTATAATCAACTATCTAAAAGAATGTAATCTACATATAGTAGCGTAGCAGAACATAAGATAAGTCCTTATCAGGAGAACCTGATTATATAACGTATGAAATAGTAGAAGTCCAACATCAAGCCTCACAGCAACCCAACCAGGTAAGACAGTGTCCTGCTACACTGCATAAGATAGCCTGCTCATCAGCAAGAGCCTCCCAGATCGCACGTGCATTTGGCTTTGCGCGGATCTTCATAGTAACTGAGTCTGGGATCATGCTTGCGATGAGTTGCTTGACATTCGCCTCGCCCTTGCGCCAATCAGCAAGCGCACTCTCGTATGCGACCTGCCCTGGGTCAGGAGTCCCTCCAGCGCTTGCACCTTTAGCCGCTGTTTCCATGGCAGCCTGAGCCTGCGGCGCAACTGGCTCGGTCACCATCCCATTGAGATGACCACGGTAGCCCTTCGCGTCAGCAGCCCACAACAGGTGGTCCTTGTACAGGACACGGTTCGAGCCTCTGAGCTCGAGCTTTGGTACACGCACAGAATCGTTGCCAAGCTTGACATTGTTCAATGACATTTGTTTTTGCGAGGTGAGTCTGGCTTTGTTATAGCAACTAGAGTCTGCCTAGAAGGCAGGGCTCATAACCTATAGAAAGGATAACTCAGTCTATATTCACAGGACTATACATTTGTTAGAAGTACCTATAGAAAGGATAACTATGGTACTAATCAGTAACAATGCTTTGTAGTAATAGTAAGTAAAGTCGAAGCTCACCTCAGTCTGTATTCACAGGACTGAGGTGACCGAGCACGGAACAGCGAGTATAAGTACATGTCGGAACAAAAGACATAGTCTGCACAATAAGAACAAGGTTGAAACAAAGTCGAGCAGGGGCCCGCAGCATATAGGAGTACAGAGCATCAATGAACAAGACATGGTGAACAAAAGAAACAAGAATGTATGGTGTGTCCCCGATGTGCACCCACTGACCGCCTTGCTGTGGGCATCGAGATTGTGCACAGCTTGCTCATGCCCTCGACAACTTCCAACATCCCTTGCCTTTTTGCAGCTGGGACACCTGTCCGTTTCCGCTTTTCTGATGCAATGTAGGTGTTCATTGAGTGGGGCATGGCCCGTGCATAACTGCGTGAGTAAGCTTGCTTGACGTCTTGGGAGGGGGCTATCAGTTTCAGGAACTTCTTTGAGGGGAGGCCGGGGTCTACATGTGTCACGCGCGCAGCGCGCAGCAACTCTTTCCACTCTGCAAGTGCCTTCATCAGGAAAAAACCCTCCTTTGAATTCACATGCATTGCATGGGATTCACAACAATAGGCCAAATATCTATGAATGTGCTGCGAATGTTTCGCTATGCGCAGGAATAGGGGTATTTGTGCCAGTATTACACTGGTGTCACATCATGACGAAACTTGCAATTGTACACAATATATTTCTAGAGCATTTTGTGTGAATTCTCTTGAGTGCATACATGGGTCATTCCATGCCATAGTATTCAATTGCAGACATACTAATACAAGTTATGGAAGCTATGGAGACTCTGGCAGTCGTTGAGATAGAATGTATTACACTTGTCCAAGATGTTCTCACTTGTCCATTGTGCTGGTACCGGGCCTCCCCACTTCGGGAATAAGTGAACACTATGTTGGACAAGCGAGAGCGGTATAATTGATCCCAATCTTGCAGGCCCCTGCAATGTCTTGATCTTGTACATCTGATACTGCTCGTCAGGCGCGTTCATGAACTTTGACAGCCATTTGATGTAGACAAGATGACACAGGATATTAGGGCGAGCTGCCGGTGCAAAGAGTAATTGTCGAGCTCAATCAGGGATTGAGAACACCATGCGAACATGGCCAATGTGTGTACCTATGTGCACTGTGAGCAGTCACCTACCTCCATGGATCAGAGATGGCATACTGGAGATGCCAGTGTTTTGTTCTCCCCTTCCCTGGCTCTGTCCAGAATGTACGCACATGAGTGCTGTGTCAAAATGTGCGGGAATGAGTCCAGTACTGTTACGTCCTGCTCGTTGTGGCCGTGTGTGAATAGCATTGAGTGTTTCCTTCCGTGATGCTCAATGTTATGGAACTTGATCTTGTGGAACACAGGGAGAGTTGAAAATGGAATCTGTACCTGCAGGGCCTGCAGCTTGACTTCGTTCCATGTCAAATTTGGACTGTTGGTCTCGACCACAAAATGTGTGAAGGCTGCTGAAAAGAACGTAGCACCATAGCCGTCAGGAGACACAACTTCAGCCACCAGGACGGATTTATGGCTGGGATGCTTCGTCATGATGAGGTGGAGTGTACATGCCAAATCTGGAGGCCGTCAGCATATCAGACTCACTGAGTGTGCAGCGATAGCATGTTCCTGTCCACTCTGCACCTGTTGAAGACACCATTCAACATAGTTAGCATGCTGCAGAATCTTCTCACGCCGCTCAAGCCACTTTGTCATCTGTGGAAACTCATCTTTATGATTGGATGCACGGTAGGCCTCCTTAGCGAAATTGATGTGTAGATGTTCTGTTGATTCGGTATTATAGTTGTCTGTCGTGCTGTACGACCTGATTGCTCGAGTATAATGGAGCATCATGTGGAGCTTTGGGATGGTGAACTGGTCGTGCACACCAAGATGGATGAAGACATCCTTCTTATCATGGAACATCGACAGGAAGTAGTGGCTGTAATGCAGGTGAACAAACCTGAGGGTAAGCTGCTCAAGGGAGAGTCCCTTTAGGCACACGGGAGAGAGCAGGAAGGAACAATGCATTAGATGTTGAACTTCTACTATTTCATACATTATCTAATCAGGCTCTCCTGAAAAGGACTATACGTAGATTACATTCCTTGATTATACCGAGTTCCATTCAGCATTCCATTCAGCATTCCACTCAGTATCCATTCGGTATCCATTCAGTATCCATTCGGACTCCATTCGGACTCCATTCGGTATACACTTGGTATCCACTCAGTGATCCGGATTACGATCTTATGATTACTCACGTAGTTTATGATTATGACTCGACATGACTCAGGCCTCATCTGATATGCTTACTGTATAATCAGATAATGCCTTCCTCTCATGTATATATACTGGGCTCAGATGCACTCTAATACAATCATTCCTTCCTCTGCTTTCCCATGTGCCTAACAGGACTCCCTCTAGCAGCTTCCCTCATAGGTTCGTTCACTAGCCTTTACAGCCACTCCCTATCACACCTTTTCAATAGGTTATGAGCCCTGCACTACATGCGCATACCTAGTTGTTTTATCCCTGCAGGATCCCTTCAAGACTACGCTCCTAGGAGTCTCTCAGTAGACTCAGCGTTTGACGTCCTGAAGTGCCCAAGGCACTGAAGGATCGGATTTCCAGTGGGCCTTCGCGCCATTTGCAAAAAGTTTATCCTCCAACAAGACCTGAGAGAAAGGTCCATTGACGCCGACTCTACCTCATCAACATTGATCTATTGATCTAATGTTTTTGTGACTCCAGTCGCACCCGCTCCCCGCTCCTGTCCGCTCCCAACCCCACTCTGTAGTTGAGCAACTATCAGACCCCGCTCCTCGCCCGCTCCCTGACTTCAAGAAGAAGTCAGCTGAAGAAGTCGTTGGGATTCTCGAGAAGAAGGTTAGCGCCACCATTGAGCGCTACCAAGCAATCTTCGACAAGAAATACCTTTTCGAGTCGCTGCTTGGAGACTCCCAGCGCGCCCTCCACCACTTCGCTGACCAATTAAATTGGGTCAGTGACAACTTCGACAAGGCCAATCAGTGGTCTAAGCAGCAGCGAGATAGCATCTCGTGGGCTTGTCACTGCGTTGGCACCGTTGAATTCTCGACACTGCAGGAACCGCTTGTCAAGCGGTACAGGAAGGTCACCAAGGACCTGACGAGCATAGCCAACGGGGGCTACTTAGACTGGATTAGTTTGTAGACAGGTCGGCGTACCTAGTGTTTTTGTATTCATCACTGGAAATACACACTAGTCAAGCATCACATTGTGGCTTTGTCTGAGCATTCGCTAGATGAGAATTGAGAAGCAGAAGCATCAGGTGCAACAGCAGAAGAAACTCCATTCGACTGCACAGGTCAACAGCACCTATTCGACTTCACAGAAAGAAGAGACTATCATTGATGACCTGAAGAAACTGAATATGAATCTTGGTTGTGTGAAGAAGTAGTCTGTAAAAATAGGTGGTCCGGTCCATTTGTCAAAGGCACTGACTGAGGCATACCGGTTAATAACTGGCAAGAGACCAACACTTATTCTGAATTCACTTCTACAAGCTTCTTTGAGGGTTCTGAACCTGAACCGCAACACCTTGCATATATCCCAGAGTACGGATCTCTGTCTATCCCTGGCTCTAGAGCGTTTTTTCCTACTCCTGAAGTTTCTCCCGTAAACCTATCTCCATTGTTTGTTCCTACTACTTTACCGTCAGATCTATTGAATCTCTTCGAAGAAGACAACGTAGAGGA